ATTTTGCCTCTACATTAGCTCCTGCCATAATTCTGTAATTCAGGTAAGGAAGATCATATTGAAGTCTTGACTTTTATGAGGTATGAAAGCCTGAGGTAAAATAGGCAAAATTCTTTTATTTTTTAGGGCAGTTGAGTAATGAGATTTACCTTTTGAGCAAGATATGTTGATTTTTATTTTAATGCATTGGCTCTTTTTCACTGAGGTGTTGTGACCCACAAGAAAAGAAATGCAAATGTCATCATTCATTTGGTGGCCATTCATTCAAATGCTATCATTTATTCATCATTTATTTACCAAACTTGCACATGAAAATCCCTCCCTATAAAAGCAAAAGACTTGGCAGGAGATGCAACATTCCCTCACTGACAAGCAAGGGTATGAGTACATTGAGAGACAACACAAGAAGTGTCAGGGGCCCAAGACTGTTCAACTGCCTCCCAGCATACATAAGGGGGATTACCAATAGACCCCTGTCTGTTTTCAAGAAGGCACTGGATAGGCACCTAAAGTAGTACCTGACCAGCCAGGCTGTGGTTCATATGTTAGTGTGTCACCACCCATAACAGCTTGCTTGATCAGACCCTGATCCACCATGAGGCTTGGTCTCTGACCAGGCTGTGGAGGCATTGACCCCCAAAACCCTCTCCAGGTATACTCCAGGAAAAGGAAGTTAGCAACAGCCTCCTTTAATAAATGATGGAGGTCACCCCAGGAAAGGTTGATTGGAGGAGGGGTACAGGAGGTTTTGTATGTGAGGAGCTTGGACATTCAGCAGGTGTGTGCGAGCCTGTTAGATAGGAGGAAGTGGAGGCAATTGGTTTTTATAACTTGAAGCACTGTTGGAGTATGAACAAGGCAACATGGTAACATTTATGAAGGGCTTCAGGAAAACTGGTTAGCCAGACTTGAGTCCTGGAGGTGGGAAGTACAGTGCCTGCACTCTGAAGGAGGAGTGGGGATATTGCAGTTTGCAAGGGCATCTGAAATATACTATCAGTGCACCTCAGGCAGAACAGTGATGGTGAAAGTGTTTTCTTTTTTTCAGGTCACCCTACTTTGGTGGGAGACAGCCAGTGTGTTAAAAGGCTGAATTTACAAAAGCTTTTTGTGAAACCTCATAGCACAAAATGCTAATTATTAAACGTGAAAAAGATATTAACGATGTAAAGTTGCATGCCGTCCTCTAGTTAACAAGCAGCAATGAAATTTAGTGCAGAGAACATATAAATGAGTAACTCTGTTTGCCTGGCATAGTAATAGAGAACATGCATGATTACCATCATGCACCCATTAAGCCACAAAACTGAGTACATCTTGTTAATCATTGCCTTTTTTTTCCATGAAGTTCAAGCTTTTATGTGTGAAATTTCCTGTTTTAACTTATGTTATTTAAGAAGTTAGAAAGATAATATCTAGAATGCTACATAACAGCTAAATTAAAGTTTCAGTAAAACAAACTTTCAAAACACTGTGAGACTCTTTGAAAGGATTATATAGTAACTGCAGTTTATATGGTTTATGTTCTAATTTATTCCTGCTGCCAGTCTTTTTCCCAAACTTTATAAGTTAACCATAATCTATTAGTGTTTATTTATTAATTAAAAAGCTGAGTAAATGAAAATATAAATATGAAGTATGGTCTTTTATTTTAAATGTTTAAATATTTACATTTTTGCACATAATGTAAGTAGATTAGCAAGATGATGTTGAAAGGATGGAAAAATGACAGTGTATTGAAGTGCCTTCTTTGCTAATGTAGTAGTTATTAACTCGTGGCAGCAAAACATGGGTTGGTAGTAATAAAATTAATTTTGAAGTGCTTATGTAATATTAGTAGACTGGATAGTGAGAAAAATTAGGTGAACTTCTATTGAAGTTGGATTAGGCCAGCATTTCTCAATGTTTTTACCCTTGCAGAACCCTTGAAATAATTATCAGAGTACTGCCGTCCTGCCAAGTCAGTGTAAAACGAAAGCCTGTAATTGTTTTACATGATGGTAGGATTGCTGGTGCCCTCTGTTCTGTCTCATAAACATGCAAGATTTCAGGTACATCTTGCTACTTCTACTTACACTTAGGTCACACTACACATGTATGTACAAGCATATATATACACACACCCCTCTGGGTTTTCTGCTATTTTCTTTCTAGTTTTTGTTCTTGTTTATTTCCTCTTACCTCCATGGGGAAGTGGAACAGAATTCTTCCTCCATTAGCCATGCGACTAAAATGCCAGGAGCAATGGGCTAGGAACCCCTTCTCCTGTATATATTACTAAATGTAAAAGGAGAAACTTTCGTTTTTTCTTTTGGGCCACCCCACCTCAGTGGGATACCGCTGATGTGTTGAAAGAAAGATATAAAACACAAAATAACTTTAAAATACTTGAAATTTGGGACAGTTTCCAGACATAATGGAAAGACGTAGTGGTCACGGAGCTCACAGAGAATGTAAACAAACCAGGTGGGGTGCAGTGACCATATTAGAAAGTCAGGTGGGGGAGCCATATAGCAAGTTTTGGTCATAATTTGAAATGTCCGTTTTAGCGGAACACCATAAAGTGGGGCCCTACTGTACAGTACACTACTGTATAACCATTTAAAAATATACCAGAAATGTTATAAATGGTGCAAAGGTGACAGTAAAGCAATACCAAAGATGGTTACACAACCTCACTACCATTATAGTATGCTCCTCACTTACCGACGAATTTGTTTACTGATGTGGTCATAGGAACAGAACTCTGTCGTTAAGTGAGGCGAGGAAAGGCTGTACCTGCATCAGTTATTAATAAACAATGACAAACAATGGCAGGCTCTCGGTCTCCACCTACGATGCTGTGTTTTGATTAAAAGGATGCTGTACTCTGTATTTTATTTTTAAGGTTTTCTTTAAAGTGTAAAAAGAAACTGAGCATTTAATTTAATTACAGACACCTGTAAATGTTATAAAAACTGTGAGAAAAAATTTCAGGCAATAATGCTTCTGGTCTCATTTACAGAAGAAGCAGTTGAGGGACCAAGAAGCAGGGATGAGGAGGCACTGTACTGGATGGCTTTTTTAAACATTTCTCCCAGTGTTATCTGCCTTATTAACAAGAATTTTTGTTGTAATAGTCTCTCTTTGATTTTGTAAACTGACATAATTTCTTGTTCTGCTGGTCCTTTAATAAGCCCATCACACATTTTCACCAAGTCATCTATAAAAACTTTTTCTGCTGTGTTAACAATGTCATCCTCATCTTCACTATTATCATCACAGTCTCCTTGATTCAGAACCATTTCAGCTGTTTTATCATCAACCATTGAGTGATCAACTGGAGTCTGCCGGCAAGCAAGTATTCCTTTTGCATATGTAAGGAGGTCTGAAATCATCTTTTTCTCACCTGACATACGGAGTTCTTCAGAATCACCACCTTGTTCATCATCACTGAACATAGTTGCAGGCCAGAGGTTGTGCCAGGTATACACAAGTGTCTTTAGTCACTGTGTTCCAAGAGTTAGCATTTCCTTTTGGAAACTTTCCATACCCATGCCTCTCTTCACTGCTGCCAACACGTTGTTCAAGAATCTGTATATTTACTCTTCATTGATGTAAAGATATGGTTGAATTAATGAAGTCACATTTGGGGAAACGTACGTGGCTTACATGTTATTTTTGATGATAAGTTCGGCTGGAAGATGAGCAGAACAGTTGCAGTTGTCATCCAGTCCAGCTTCCCTGCAGTAAGCACAAGCTGCTAGTACAAAAAGTTTTGGAAACCAATTAGGAAAGATGTTCCTAGTGATTCATGTCCTTTTGTTGGCATAATAATCGACTGGTAAGAAATTGATTCCTTTAAAACAGTGATCATGCACACTTTTGCCTATCACAGCCAGTTTACACTTATTCATGCCTGCTCCATTAGCACATCTCATCACAGTTATTCTGTCCTCAGCATTCTTAATTCATATGGGGCTGTCTCATCAGCTGTAGTCAATGTTTTCTTGAGGTAATAATGCCAAAACAGTGATGTTTCATCAGCATTGTAGACTTGTTCTGGCATCAGATTTTCATCAACAACAACCTTGGCAAACTCATCAGTAAATTTCTCTGTTGCTTCATGATCAGCAGATACTGTACCACCAACCACAAATCTTTAAAAATTTAATGCAATGCCTTTTCTTAAATTTCTGCAACCAGCCTGTTGAACATTCATAATTACCTTCAATTTTTGACTCATCATGATAGATCTTTGCTTGTTTTATGATCAACATACCATTAAGCAACATATGTTCACTGCACCACTGACAAATCCACTCTCAGTATATGATCAAGATCTTCAGTTTTAGCTTTATGCTAAAAATGAACTTCTGTTCATCCCTTGCAGTATACAATTTTAATGGTTTATCCTTCTGTTTCTTCAGGTCATAGATGGTGGTCATCCAGCACCATACTTCTCTGTAAGATGCTTCACACTTACACCACTGTCCAGTTTCTCCAACAACTTGAGTGCTATAGATAAACATAAATACTTCCTCCTTATCTTATCACTGTTAACAAAAGGGGTATCTGCAGGCCTTCTTGATATTTTTACTGCTATTTTTGCACCACAGAACAGAAAATAAGCACAAACACATTGTAATCACAATGAGTAATGCAGTGGCTGTGACAACTGTTGATGACAAATTGGTGCCAACACAGCATCAGAACCACACCCACCTGGGATAAGCAAGGTCATTGTGTCACAACTGTCTGGGTATGCAGAGACTTGTGCAATGCCTGGGAATCTCCCCACAGCTGACTGCAATTTTCCATTTGTGGTGTCATGTCGATTCTCAGAAAATGTTTTGGATGTCAGAGCTTTTTGTACTTTGGAATTTCGGATAAGAGATACTCAACCTGTATTTTATCACGTCCCATTCCTGCTTTAGCATTGATGCTATGGTTTGTCCACTCATGTACTCACTGGCAGTCCTTCAGTGGTAGATACTGTACTGTAAGTCAGTGTTTTTATATATTTCAGATGAACACCACATGCTTGTTGAACCTGCATGTGGAGCAGCGTTAGCAGCCGGATATTGTGGCATCGTTCAAGAATTTATCTCTAAAGATGTCATATGCAATGATGGACCAGTTGTGTTTGTGGTATGTGGTGGGAATATTGTGACCCTAGACTTACTAATGACTTGGAAAAATCAGCTTTGTATACTAACCACCTAGTTGTATTAGTTCTTTTTTTTTTTTTTAATTTAGTTTAGAAAAAAACTAACCACTGTAGTTTATTCCTCTGCACTCTTAAGTAGGAATTTATTTTATATTATTCATATTCATTTCAGATTTTCAAATACATATTGGGTCCTATAACCCCATGACAGTATTCAAGTATTCTTTTTTTTTTTCTTAATTCATGAGGTTTTATTGAAGAAAAAACGTATATTTGTACATAAATTTATATAATTATGAGTTAAGTGCTCTAGTTGTCTAATGTTATTGTAAATATATGGCAGCATTTGATAATAAGTCTGAAAAGATATATATACAATTTATCCAACATTACCTCTGTTTCATTTACCTTCTCTTCAACACATTGAAGCTTATTAATCAGTCAGTTTGGATGCTGTGCCAACACTGATGGGTATTCTGAGCTTCTTCCAACATATTTTACTAATGTAAAGAATTTGCATTATCTTTTGATTATATTGCACTACAGCACAATGTACGTACATAGTATTTACTTTTGTAACTTTCAGTAGTCTTTCCGTAGAAGTTCTGATATTAATCATACTATTATATTACTAATATGGTTAGTTGGTTTGTGTTTAGAAGATGGCCTGCTGATTTGTCAGGTTTAATGCCCGTCAACTGCACTTGCATCATTAAGGATGCATTTCACAAGTAAATCACCAATAAAAAATATGTTTATACCAAAAATAATGATTAAAGTCAACTTTATATACACCGAGAGATATACATGTACATGTACATCTCTCTGTGTATATGTTTCTGGAAAAGTGATAAGATTTTGTTCTCACCACAGTATATCTTGTTTTAAGGTGAAGGAGTTGGAGCAATCGCCCATATTGAATGATAGGTCAACATCAGTCACAGGTGCATAGTCAACACTGTTGGTATACTACTTTAGGTTAGATATGTGTATGCACTGATTAAGGAATTAATATGGCATGTGTGGCTTCTTCAGTCGTAATACAGGACATGTAAGTGAGGTGAGCATAGGTCAGAAGTGGGTGAACTTGATAGAAGAAGCATGAAACTCTTGCACCTGCTTCTCAATAACCCTTGAGTGGCAAGACTCTATGGTCAACTCAAAACACACGCATGCTCAGTGTCCTGCTGAGGCCCATCTCTTCAGGGATTGGCACTGCCTCTCACAGACTAGCAGGAATCCTGGTTAAACACTTTACCAAACTGTTAGATAAGATCAGCCTAGCACACCTAAAACACTTATGGGGAATCTTTTAAATCACATTAAGGATTACAACATCAAGAATAAAGGCTTGCAAGTTTTGACGAACATCTCTGTTCACACCACCATCACAGATGAAGCTTTAAATCTCACCATCCTCAAAATAAATGATAATTTGAACCATCCTATAAGCTGAGACTTTATTGACCTAATACAGCTATTCATGAATTTCAACTGTTTTGGCTTCAATGTACACACAATAACTTGGATTCACAGTGGCTTACCAATTAGTGTAGTCTAAGCTAATTTAGATATTTGAACATTTGGAATCAAGCCACAGCATACCAAACATTCCTAGTATGCAAACTCTTGATTTAATGGACTTTGAAAATACAAGACAAAATCCTTTGGGGTCCATGGATTTGAAATCAATCTTGACAAAGCAATCTCATCTTACATCTTGGTCATTGTGTCAAGAAAGCTTAAAATAAAAGACACCCAGAAAACTATTAATAGCTTAGACCCAGCCATCAAATTTACAGTAGAGGATGGGAGAGATGACAGCTTGCCTTTCTCTATGTGATTCCATATGGGAGGAGAGAAATTTGTTCCAAGTCTACAGGAAGTCTACATATGTTTCTGTTTAGAGATTTTTATGGCCTGGGGAAAAGCCAACTGCTGACTCTGGCTCAATACAACATATATGTGATGGCCCTACAAGCCTGAATAGATGACCCACAGTCATCAGCTGATAAAATACAAATGGATGACTCACAGCCATCTACTGCTCAGCAGTCACATTACCATGTCCAGAAACTCCTATAAAAATAAGCAAGAGAACAAGGAATGTAAGGTAGGATAATTTCCCTCATCACTATGTATTATAAATTAGAAAATTGTGCCATGAAATGTATAAGATATCAACTGGTACAACAGATGACCCACAGCAAATACTATATAGTAAATCTTTTTACAGTGCAACCTCACATTGTCTGATGTTCTTGCAACAACATTCCAAAAGTCCAACCAAAGAAATTTGATAGTGAGGAATGAATCTTGATATTATGCACTGTAAAGCATTACAGAATTACTAAGGCACAAAATATTGTTACTACATACCGTGAGTTTCCATAGAATCAGTTTAATCACAAAATCATGTGTACTGTTGAATATTTTTCATCTGACCCAAGTTGGATAGTAGGGCCTAAGGCTCAAGAGTGTTTGTTTAGGCACAGCTACAGTTGCTTTCTAGGAGCATTGTCTATCTCATGCACTTTGTATTTATCAAATGATTTTGGATAGATTACTGTATTTTATCACCCCAGCTTGTCTCTAGATATAACCTTAAGAACACTTGTAAAGCTTGAGGCTACAAGAAGAATAAGCATGAATTTATGATGGTATTGAAGAAAATGAAGATTTTAGATATGGTTAGATGTGGGGCACACGTGACATACATCATTCAGATATTGCAATTAAAAGTAATGAGCAGAAAATAAGCACTTGTAGTATTGTTGGAATGCATTACTTTAAAACACATATTGTATAATACATTAATCAGTACTGTATTGTTAGGTAAGACACATATGCAACAGTTAGGTATCTTTATTATGAAACGTTTCGCCTACACAGTAGGCTTCTTCAGTCAAGTACAGAAAAGTTGATAGAAGCAGAAGATACTTGAAGACGATGTAATCAGTCCATCACCCTTAAAGTTTTGAGGTGGTCAGTCCCTCAGTCTGGAGAAGAGCATTGTTCCATAGTATGAAACAATATGGAGATGAAATGACAGAATGGAGCTTTTTATAGCGCCAAGAGGTGAGACGTAGGCCACTAGTGGCCTACTGAAAAAGCCTACTGTGTAGGCGAAACGTTTCATAATAAAGATACCTAACTGTTGCATATGTGTCTTACCTAACAACCTGTCGGTATTTCATACCATTTTAATGTTCAGTACTGTATTGCATAGTACAGCCTCTCCTCACGTAATGATGGAGTTCCATTCCTAAGACCACGTTGGTAAATGAATTCGTCGCTAAGTGAGGAGCATATTATAATGGTAGTGGGTTTGTGTCAACCATCTTTGATATTGTTTTAGTGTCACCTTTCCACCATTTATAGCATTTCTGGTATATATTTAAATGTTTATACAGGCGTGTACTGTATATTGTAATAAACAGAATAGAGGAAATCAGCTCTAATATACATTATTTATGTATGTATACTGGTCAGAGAGCCCGTCCTAAGTCCTAGTCATCAGGATATAAATACATCACTAAGTAAGGAGAGGCTGTACAGTATTTTTTGACACACTGTACTATGCAAGGTATTGCTGTATCGTGCTCTATAAACAGCCAGCCCCACATTTTCTTTGGTTCTCATTTCTCCAAATTTCCTAATGTAATTTAATGCAAGTCTCCAGTGGGTTTAGAGCCTCTTTATAAAGTATTCTTCTACATTCCTATTTAACTAGACCTTGGGATTTTTTTATGTACTGTTGACATGTGCTTAGGAACAATCATTTCTATGTAGATTCTTGCTGGTAAAAGGCTCTTTGATTAAATTGGACCCATCCTCCACTTCCTCATATCAAAATAGTATCTCATATTTCCTACATTTTATATTCATGGAAGGCACCAGTCATTCAGTGCTGTTCCCAGGCAGTGTGTGACCCAGATTTAGCGTTTCCCCATAAATATATAACAGGTCGTCCATCACTAGTCCAGCATCACTGGGACCTGTAGGGTGCCAGATTAGTGATTTTGGTGAATCACAGAGTGGTTAGGTTACATACACTTAACCCTTTGACTGTTTCGGTTGTATACATACATCTTACGCGCCACTGTTTCTGATGTATTTATACGCGTAAATTCTAGCGGCTTCAAATCAAGTGGAAGAAAGCTGATAGGCCTACATGAGAGAGAATGGGTCTGAGTGGTGGGTGTGCACCCTGTGAAAAGAATCTGGGACTCAGTGGTGCATTGTGGGAACGCCATCTTGGTAGTCCATTTTCACCATGCCTCGCAGTAAGAAGTACCTCACTCCTCGGCAGATTGGAGATCTTTTGTTCCCAAGTGATAGCTCTAACAGCGATGAAAGTGTCAGTGAAAGTGAATTCCATGGTTTTCAAGTGGGTGTGACTGAAAACAGTGCCCAGGATAATGTAATTAGTGATGAAAACCCAGATGACCCACGACCTTCCACCTCTGGTGCTGGGCCGGCTCGTTCACGTTCACCTGTACCAGGATGAAAGAGGAAACTATTTGCCCGTGTACAAGACTCAGATGTGAGCAATGAAAGTGATAGTGATAGTGATTTCAAAGCTATTGAAAGCAGTTCTAGTTGCAACAGTGAGGGTGAATATTCCCCAGTGAAGCGGCAGTATGTACGACGTAGCATGCGGTCTGGTAGTGTGTCATATGCTGTTCCAAGGGGAAGGAGTAAATCTCGGAGCACATCCCATGGCCCTACACCATGACCTGATAGTGAAGATGACGATATTGTTACAGTGGGTATGAATGATGTGAGTGAGGCAGCAGGTGGTGATAGTGATGGTGGCATGAGTCATGTGGCACCAGCAGCGGGCCACGC